CATCGTATAGTCTCATCAGCGTAACGAGCGAATATGGCCGCCGGAGGCGGCCATTTTGCGAGTAACACGGAATTCTAGTAAACTCCGGCTGGCAAAAGTCCCTCGTACCAGCCGGAACTTCAATAGCCCTGTTCCGTACATGTGCAGGATGATTAACAAATTGTAGACAGGCACTGGATATTTTACAATAGCATGGATAATTCGTATTTTGCTTGCTCCCCTTTATATAGCCCGGCAGATATGTGAATGAATTGTGATTTTTATGATACAAGCATGAGCTTTGACACACGATTAGAGCATGCCCTAAGGAAGATTTTTGGCTATAGGGCCATCGCATATTTGTCCCATGGCAACAATGGCGGGCATTTTCCAAGATTGCCGCCATTCAAATCCATTATCCTTCATTTTCAGCTAATATTCAACATAGAAACATGATCTTGGTGCCTAAACTAACATTATCGGGGTCAAGAAACACATTGCCATCAAAATCATTATCGGTCAAAGGCCGCCATCTTGAATTTCAAGATGGCCGCCATTTAAATCTATTATCATTTAATATTTCAGCTAATATTCAACATAGAAACATAATCTTTGTGTCTAAACCAACATTATCGGGGTCAATGAACCCAGTGCAATCAAAATCATTATCGGTTAGTGGCCGCCATCTTAAATTTCAAAATGGCTGCTATTCAAATCCATTATCATTAAATATTTCAGCTAATATTCAACATAGAAACATGATCTTTGTGTCTAAACCAACATTATCGGGGTCAAGGAACACATTGCAATTAAACTGATTATTGGTCGGTGGCCGCCATTGAATTTCAAAATAGCTGCCATTCAAATTCATTATCCAATTCAATTTATTTTAATGCAATTCAATCACTTAATTTACACCTGAGAATTACATTTTAAAGGTATCATATTGGTTCAACAAAATTAATTAACAAAGCTAATAAATTGAAAGAGTTGTGAAGAGTCACAAGAGCTTGTGACCACACATAACCTGCTTAATATACACTGACAGTAGGCCCCCTACTGCTGAGAGGGTCTATGTACCCCGGGGTACTGCCGGAACGTACCCTGGGTACGGTCCGGTATACCGGAACGTACCCTGGTAGGGGGCCTACTATCTAATATGCCGGACCGCGTACCTCACCTACTCCACTAACGAGTCTAGGGAGTCGCCTACGCCTACTCACTAACCCTAACACTAACCCTAACCCTAACCCTAATCCTAATCCTAACCATATCAAATAGTGACCAGGGTACGTTTCGGTATACCGGACCGTACCCAGGGTACGTTCCGGCAGTACCCTGGGGGACATAGACCCTATGAGAGCCAGGGCTGGCACATCCGTGTCATCTGTGCGTATTGACACCTTGGTATACCCTTCCTTCCCAGCATCTGCTGTAACATGTCTTTTGCACGTGTTACATGGATTAGTCAGTGGAGCTAGACTGGTAGTTGTTTTAGACATAGTCTAGCTAGACAGAGCGTCGCGCAACAAGCTGCGCGTCTACATTGATGTATTAGGGAGAATGGTAGACGTGGTTAGGTTAGACAGATTAGGGGTCATTGTGAAATGGGGGGTAGGACGCGGTCTGTGAGAACGGGTACATGTGCGTGGTGCATATGTGGTTTGTAGGAGTTTTTGGGAAAAGGGAGGATTCTGGTTCTGGTCGCGAGAGTACGCGCACGCGCGCCTGCGCGTGTGCGCGGGTCTTTGTCTGTGTGTAAGAAGATGTAAGGTGTGTAAGATATTAAAGGTTGTACAGTTTACCACACAAGTTCTGGATTTGGATCTACTTTATCATTTCTACATGAACGCTCATTCCTGTTTACATGAGTTTGGTTGCCGTGACAGTCCAAAACCTGGGTATCCCTTTGCGGACACAACGAAAGTTATACTTTATTATATCGATCTACGAGCCAGCAACGAAACAGAGGAAGAATGACGGAGAGCGAGAGAGGGAGAGAAGGACGGAAAGAGCTAGTTCCGATGACGAGATGGGAGAGAGCATAGCCGAAAAACTATATCGATCTATGGGCTTGGATTTTGCCCGGGCAGTGAACATTGCTATCGAGACTGAGGATGCCGCCCGCGTCGCCAAGGAGACAGTCTACGGTGCGAAGTCCAACCCCGTGAACAAGGTCAAGGAGCACAAGCCCTTCCAGAAAGCCCAGTCGCCAAAGGAAGGGGGTGCCAAACCGAAGTTCAAGTGCTACCGCTGTGGCAAGGACAACCACCTAGCCAATGATTGTCGCTTCAAGAACGCCATCTGCAACTTTTGCAAGAAGCAGGGTCACATCGAACCGGCCTGCATGCAGAAAGCCAGGGATGCCAGACACCCTGTGAAGCAGATTACCCATGAGCTGGTTAACATGGTAATGGCTGACGACGATTCAATGCCCAAGCTGGAAGTGCCGATCGAAATCCAAGGGATCAACCACGTCGTTGAGATCGACACTGCGACGAATGGAAACTTCGTCACAGAAAATTTCTGGAAGAAGCTGGGCAAACCAAAGCTGGAGAAGCCGAAGTGGCGATTCGAGTCGGCTAGCAAGCACGACCTGCCAGTTTTGGGTACATTCACCGGAACTACCACGTTACCGGGATCAGGATTCAAGCACGACATCCGCTACATCGTCTCCACGGTTCCAGACCTAAACCTGCTAGGAAGGGCAGCAACGGATCGATTGGGAATCTCGGTCGATAACGCAATGCAGTCGGCAAAACGCGAAGTCAACGCTGTCTTCGACGACCTTCCGACCGACAAACGGCTTCAGGCCGCCTGTCGAAAGCTATGCGACCAGTACCCAGACCTGTGGAAAGACGAACTCGGGTGCCTAAAGGATTTTGAACTCGAGGTCAAATTCAAACCAGATGCGCAGCCGATCTTCAGAAAACGAGGCGGTTCCATTTGCGCTTCAGGAGGACCTGGGCAAAGCCTACGATGATGGTATCAAAAGAGGAGTCTGGAAGCCTGTGCAATTCTGCGACTACGGCACACCCGTGGTTCCAGTCCGAAAGACGCATACACCTGGCAAACCGAAGCCCAAGATACGGGTATGCGGCGATTATTCGGTGACGGTCAATCCCCAGCTGGAAACACATCGTCATCCGATGCCTCTCCCAGACGATCTGATGCGGAAACTGGGAGGAGGATATGGCTTCACGAAGATTGACCTCGCAGATGCCTACAATCAGGTTCAACTAGCCACGCTCAGTCAAAGACGGCTAGCTCTGAACACTCACCGGGGAGTGCTGCTACAACTTCGATTACCGTTCGGGATAAAGTCAGCCCCCGGGTACTTCCAGGAGATTATGGAGCAGCTGACAAGTGACCTCCAGGGCGTTGCAGTTTACATGGACGACATACTGGTCAGCGGCAAGGACCCAAACGACCACGTGGAGAATCTCCAGCGCCTCCTGCAACGACTCAACGACCGAGGACTCCGATGTAGGCTGGAAAAGTGCCACTTCGCACAACCCAGCGTGGAGTACCTTGGACATCGGCTATCCAGGAATGGAATTGCGAGGGTCCGAAAGTGGATGCCGTCCGCCAAATGCCGGAACCGACTAACGTGTCAGGTCTCCGATCCTTCCTGGGTTCCGTCCAGTTCTACGGAAAGTTCCTAGCGAACCTGTCGATGGTAGCCGAGCCCTTGCACCGCCTAACCAAGAAAGACGTACCTTGGCACTGGGCAGCGAGGAGAAGAAAGCGTTCAAGACGCTGAAGGACATGCTTACGGCAGACGACGTTCTAGCCCACTATGATCCTTCGTTACCGCTGGGCATTGCTACAGACGCATCAGAAATCGGAATCGGAGCCGTACTGTTTCATCGCTACCAGGACGGGAGCGAGCGCCCGATTGCCAACGTGTCGAAGACTCTCAACAAGTCCCAGCGAAATTACAGCCAGATTCAGAAGGAACCCTGCTATCGTCTTCGGCCTCAAGAAGTTCTACCAGTACATCTGGGGACGCAAATTCACGCTTGTGACGGATCACAAGCCTCTGATATCGATGTTCGGGCCGCACAAGGAGACGCCAGCGCTTGCAGCGAACCGCCTCGCACGTTGGGCGTTACTCCTGAGTCAGTTCGATTACGAGATCGAATACCGGAAGACTGCCGACCACGGCAACGCCGATGCTCTAAGTCGCCTACCTACCGGATCGGACGACAATTTCGACGGGGAGGAAAGTGAGGACGACATTGACCTAGTGTGCGCGATCCGAGTCCTGAGCCTACAAGTTAAGCCAGCGGACGCAGAATCACTCGCCAGGGAATCGGCAACCGACCCGGTAATCTCCAAGGTCATGCGATACACACGCGAAGGGTGGCCACCTGAACATTCAGCAGAGAAGGAACCCGAAATGGCAAGATTTCGCAAACTGGAGGAGTCACTATCAATCTGCAACGGATGCCTACTGCATGGATCCCGAGTGGTGATTCCCGCGAATCTTCGCGCTCAAGTTCTGGAGCTACTACATCTCGGGCACTTCGGGATGCAGCGCATGAAGCAGCTGGCTCGCACTGCTGTTTACTGGCCGAATATCGATGACGACATCGAGAACACCTGCCGCAAATGCATGGCCTGCGCCGAACATCAGAACAAACCGTCAAAACCGGCGGTACACCCGTGGATGTTACCAGAGAAGCCATGGAGTCGACTACACCTGGATCACGCCATCAACTTCCTGGGTTCGAATTGGCTAGTCCTAATCGACTCTTACTCGAAGTATCCCTGCATCCATCCAACCCAGGCGATTACCGCAAAAGCAACAATCGACCTGCTGGAGCAGGACTTCGCCCACTTTGGCTATCCTCATACGCTGGTCACTGACAATGCGACTACGTTCCATTCGGCGGAATTCCAAGCCTGGTGCAAGGACCACGGCATCACTCATCTAACCGGCGCGCCGTATCATCCTGCTACGAACGGCGCCGCTGAGAGACTGGTTCAAACGTTCAAGCAAGCAATGAAGAAGTCAAGTCTTCCTCCGAAGAAAGCGCTGAACGAGTTCCTGATCCAGTATCGTCGAACTCCGACGTCCTGCGGATACTCGCCAAGCGAACTGCTCAACGGCCGACAAATCCGCACCAAGATCGACACGTTGCTGCCTTCACCCGCACACGTGGCCCAGGGGAAGCAGGCAAAGCAGGCGACCAAGTCTCAACGACAAGAAGTCGCCAAGCTCTCCCATTCCTATGCAGTCGGGGATCCAGTGTACGCGCAGTACTACGGACCAAGACGTGATCGGGAACCACGATGGGTGCCAGCGATCATCAAGAAACGACTGGGCAGTCGAAGCGTCAACGTCAGGGTAATCCCCAGAGGACCGA